ATCAAAAAGCCTGAAATTTGGAATTATAATATCTCTAAACATAGTGTATTTGATCTTCAGAATTGTGTAGTTGTTGTTCCTAATGCTAAAGCTTGACAATGGTTATTTCCATGTACATTTAATCCACCTCGTGTACCTCTTCGTTTTGTTCACGTCTATATTTCAAGATGAAACTTGTAGATATTGCAGATCTCCTCTTATTCACCTCTACTGAATTCTAAAAGCCTTTGAAATTTTCCCACATTTTTGGTGAGGCTTTGATTTCCTTCCTTCTATCAGTAGGAAGATCCTTGCAGAAAACGTTTCATTGACGTTAGTTGATTGTCCCTCTATTTGTCTATTCACGTGAATTTCGATCACATGAAAAACGTGACAATAGGGAACTACAAAATGAACATCAATTTTGTGCCGCTGTGCGGCGAAGAAAAGAATGTCTTAGAGTAAACATTTGATTGATTTTCTACGTGTGACCCCACAATGACGACCTAGAGGCATTTACCTGCACTGATTGTCTCAAGTGGGAATAAGCATATTTGATCAGCTGGGTTGTCCGCTTTCATGGAATGGCAAAGACGTTGGATGTAAAATGGTACTTTTGGGTGTGCTAATGGGCTTCGGGGTAAAGAGAGGCTTTCTGGTTGGTTAGGAATTTGCTATATTTTTTTCATTTCTATTGCTTTCTTCATTAGTCCAGGTTGCATTTATAGGTGTCTTGGTCTGCTTTCTTGGGTGCTCCAGCATTTGTACATGTAAAAGCACAGTAGTTTCTCAACAGCAAAGGGTCAAGTCCTTTTCTATGATAAAGAAACGTATAGTTGTGTTCCCTGAAACCGAGAACAATTCATCAATGGGTGCTGACTTTATACCTCCAGTAATTAATTGTAATGCTTGATTGGCTTTCTTCTCGTGTGGTTTGAGGATCAGCACAGAGACTGTAATGAGTGGTTTGAAGCAATGCCACATTATCGGTTGGACAAACATCTTGTAGTTGGAGGTTATGTTTAGTATATGTAGTAGAAGGAAACATGCCAAGTCGTCATCAAGTTTCTACAGATTGATGTTAAGTATACATATTAACGGTATGAAGGTGACATTTGGGACATTAAGCTATCAAGTGAACTCTGGTTTATGAATAAAAGAAGGAATCAAATTAAGCCCATAGCCACAAAGTTATGGAATTAAATCTATTAGAACCGAATAGCTCAATTATTTTAATTTCAATTTCAAAGTTTTGTGACATAGAATTGCAAGACACTTCTTCTATCCAGTCAAGCACAGCAGGCAACAGGTGAAGAGTTCTAAAATTACTAGTCCAATTGACTATTTTGCCAAACGACTACAAAGAATTGAGAAGAGAGTTGGCTAAGTGAATAAAGGATATTGATGGATATTGAATGCTTCCACGACATAAGCGGGTGTAACTCTTTTGACTCGCTTGTCTTATCGATTTCGCCACTCATCCTACCTCCTATGCTTCCTCCATTTCATGCCTCATTTCATTATCTTTCTAGTGACTTTACTCAGATGTTTTTTTCATTATTAACAGTTTTTTCCCTCACCAATGCACAATTACTTGCAATAATAATGACAATGACAATAATAACAATAATAACCACCTTTCGTGAATCTAATATTCATCTCAGCTATTTAATTCATGATAACACCGTATAATTACAACGCAAATGAGAAGTATATTGGTAGATAAAATCAATTATTAACATGCTATTGCCAATATTAAATGTTAATATTTTCGATAATTTTTCGGAATCGGTTTTACTGCAATCGATAAATCCACTCTCTCGTTGCAATATCTTAACGTGGATAGGTTATAGTCTTCGTAAGAATTCAAATACCCAAAAAAGGCTTCTTAATTTAAATGTTGAAAACCTTAACCACTTTGACAACATTCGGAGCAGGCCACAAATGGGTAACGAGATTCGGCGACTACATGAGGCACAGCCGTTCCACACGCATTGTCGTGTGTGTCATCTTCGATGCTTTATTGGGGACATTGTCTACTGGGGAGGGGCTTCTTTAGTACATAGTGGCATTTCCCCGGTGGCAAGATGGAGAGCGATGAATCCCATGTCAACTGTCTGATAAGGGAGTTGAAGGAGGAGCTCTCCTTTAACATGTCCTCCTATATCAGGGAGGACCTGTGTGTCTCCATTCCACACGTCTCAAGGGATGTCTGTGTCTACTTTGTGGAGGCTGCGTCTGCCCAAGTGGCTTTCAAACCTACCACGAGATATGGAATAAAAGTGAGTGAGTTGACCCAGCATTCAAAGCAAACGCCTCATCCTCTCGAAATCTGAAGAAGTCAGCAATAGAGAGTTGAGCAGTTTCCGGACGATGAAGTCCATAACGCATCAACCGCATGTTCTGTGTCATTGGGAGGTAAGGGGAGAAAAGAGCAGGGATCTTAGTTGGAGGGGAAGGAGAAGTTGTTTCAACAGCTGTTGATGGGACCATGAAGAGGAACTCACAAATTGAGTAGATTACTGCTTAGATTCCCACTATTCCAACTGTAGAATTAACGTTTTGACAACTTTTTCATAAAGGGAAAGTGAAAGTCTTCAAAATCAAAATACTTCTAGCGTCAACTCCACTGGAATTGCTTCGTTTTTTCCCTTAAACACCTTAAACAGGATACAAATCTAACTTGAATAAACTGAGGTAGCGTGAGCAGTGGTCTTCTTAGCTAATCACGTATTAATGTTCATTCAAATTGCGTTAAATTTATTCAAAATATGATTCGTATTTGATGTGATCATAAAATTCAATAAACACTTCACTCACTATAAGTCTACCCTCATGCTAGGTTAACTAATTCTTAACAAATCGGGATACTTTGCCATCGAAATTACTATGATAACGCAAGTCCAATTTTTTGCAGCAAACTGCTACAAAAGTATTGTAGCCATATAATTGTGCACATTTGCCATATTTTATCTTGGATTGCCTGCAGTGAAGGCACTTCTATAGCTCAGGGTGACAAGATGACACTCAATAAATCCTGTGACAGCTGCTTGACAAGGGAGCTAAAGAAAGAGCTCTCATTTGAATTACTTTCCCAGATCTGTGGGGGCCTATATGTCTTAATCCCAGACATTTTAACGGATGAGCATGCACGTTTGGATGACCCCGTCATGTTTGGCTGCCATTCAGAGCTACAGACAAAGAGAAAGTGAGATTCAGGACCTACGTTGGGCTCTGGTGTTCCACATCCTTCGTCATAGATGCCATTTTCGATGCGTAACAAAAGCAGGAAATAAGCCTATTTCAGTGGGAATATTAAAAGCTGTCTTGAGGTAAGTTGTGCCAGTTCCTTCAATGAAACTAAATTATACGAATAGGAAAGACACGCCATTCCTCGCTCAAATATCTAAATGTGATTTTGATGTGATTCGATGGCTGTCATCAACGGACTTCGACAAGCCTATTGGGAGTACGTAGGTCGGTTCGCTCATAATAGCGGCCAGTAATAAGAATTTCTACGAATTTAGTGAGTGAATTTGCTATTGATCATGTCCACCATCAAACTACAAATATCATACTGACTAATTTTTATTAAAATTTCTGCTTTCTATTGGTTTTTTAAAAGTTCCCAACTTGACTGTCATTCGGAAGTACTGACAGTTAACGAACGAAGTTTAAGGAATACATGAGGCACGGACGTCCCACACCAATGTCATTGGTGTCATTTTCGATGCGGATTTGGAACATTGTCTACCGGGAAGGGGATTCCATAGCGCGCAGTGGTAATTACCAGGTTGCAAGATGAAGATCAATGAAATCCATATGAACTGCTTTGAAAAGAAGTTGAAGGAAGAGCTCTCCTTTGGCATGTCTTCATTTATCAAGAAGGACCAATGTGTCTACATTCCAGACAACTGAAGGGATATCTGTACCTATTTTATGGAGGTTAGGTCTGCCCAAGTGTCTTTTAGATCAAAAACAAATAAACGAAATAATGGTGAGTGAGTTAATCAATCATTCTTAGCATATCACGCGTCTACCGAATCTCAAATACGCAAACACACACACACACAAACGGACTTTCTCTATTTCAATTCTAATACCCATTCCACTGCTGATACTATTAGGGTTTCGTCTTTCGATTTTAGGCACTCTCTTGGTTCAACGTTGACAATCGTGTTTGCTTTCTTCATGACTGTGTTAATGACGGTTGGCACAAGACCACTTCATTTGCTCTGGTACAGCCGTTTCCAAGGTTAATGGTAATTTCAACGCCCTTCTCCTATTCTCACTATCTCATATCTTTAACACACACCACACACTATGCTCTTTTTTGCAGATCAGCTTAAGAATCTGCGGATCTACGTCGAAGAAACGGGCCACCTTGTGAGGTACTTGTGAGAGCATGACCAACAGGGATTTCGAAGGTAGATGAGTAAATGGTCGACCTGCCTGCTTGTCAGTGCTATCACATCGCTCCTCACCCTCCTACTCTTACACATAGCCGCATATTCTGACACTTCATCTTGTTAATTTCTGGCAAAAATATATTATCTGTGCCTGACATCCACTTGCCCTCTCTCATTCTCTTTACTGTTGGGGTTGATGTCTGCTTAATCATACTAATTAAGCATTTTAGTTCGAAATTTCATTGCGTGTCCTTCTTATTTATTTATTCAAGTCGCCAACTGTGACTACAAGTCTCGGTAGTTATAAAACATGGAGACCACTCAACTAAAGAGGAAGTGTGGGTTATTAAAAGAGTAAGTTGGAGGAAATTGGATGGAAAAGTAAATGTAGGAAGGTTGGTTGGGAGGAGGTGGAATGTGGAAGAATCGCATTCAATGGCACCAAAGTAGTAACGCGATTGAAGGTCTGTCCTTGAAGACCGATGTTAACTGCAATATCTCCAGAGGAGGTTGACGGAAATAAAGTCCTAATTAGTTAAAATTTCCTCAATGCGACTACATTTCTTTTCGAAAATTAGGTGCAATTGCTCAACAAAGTCGTATTAGGCTTGAAACTGCAACTCTTGAGTTGAGGAATGAAACTTAAAGAGCAAGTATCAAAAGAGGTGAAAGGATAATAAAACAAGGATTAAAGCGTTGAGTTGACTACAAATCCTGATAGCTCTAAAACATGGATAGCATTCAACTGCAAAGGACGTGTGAGTCATAAAAAATATGCGTTGGAGGAAAATGAATGGTAGAGTTAATGTGGGAAGGGTGGTTGGGAGGGGATGGAATGTGGAAGAATCGCACTCATTGATACCAAAGTAGGAATACGATTGAAAGTCTGTCCTCGAAGACCGATGTTTACTGGAATATTTCCAGAAGACCTTAAACGAAATGAAGCCCTAATTACCTAATATTTTTTCAATACGACTACATTCCTTCTCGAAAATTAGGCAACATTGCTCAATACGATCGTGTTAGTTCTGAAACTGCAAACTATCGAGTTGAGCAATTGAACTAAAAGAGTAAGAATCAAAAGAGATGAGTGGAGAAGAAGACAAGGTTTAAAAGCGCTGAGTTGGTCAGCTTTCAGGAATGGGGCATAACGCTAGCTGCGATTTGGTCCTGTGTTGAGAGCGATTCTGACAAATTGATCTCTATAGTTCGGAATGGGTTGACGTTTGTAATTTCTGGAGACCGTTGACCAATTCATCAAATGCAATATCGAGCCATGCTCGTCCAATTCCTAGCAATCTGCCCACTCCATATTTGAGCAGCTCTCACGACTTTGTCAATTGCACGATAAACACTTCAAAAATCTGACTGCACACTTTCCACCTTTGAAAGATGAATTTGGAGAAAACAAGTAAAGCAATGATGAACAATCTGATTGGGTGAAGAATAATTCGCGTTACTATAGGTGCAAATCTGAGACATTGACTCTATATGTTAAGGAGCTAAACGATCTCCGTAAAGTTATTGAATGTGATTGGGATATAAGCCACATACTACAATGGTCTTCAACATATGAGCAGAAGTTTTGTGACGCTGTAATGCCTCGTTGGGTAGTGTTTTCTACTACGGATTCGTCGAGGAGTACCTTGAAACCTGCCGTTTACAGAAAATTAAACTCCCATGATTCCTACCCTGGACCGATCTCCATTCTTCATTAATTCTCTACATCAGAGTCGATAATGCCCATGTGCCCTTAATGTTTTGGACTCAATGAAGAAAATCTGTTTAACCTGACATTTGAACGCAAACTTGAGACTTGCAAATATGTGGGAGTATGGCGATTTATGGAAGTTGAGATGTGTTGTGAATGTGGAGAGAAAGGGGATTGAAGGACACAGAGAGGCATGAATTAGCTCAGTTGGAGCAAAGTGTCGACGTGATAAAGGACAAGAATTATTTCAGCATCGTGCATAAGTAGATTTAAGACCCTCTTTTACCTCTTACTCAAACACTCCAAAGCACTGTGACAAGTTAAACCTTGCCAATAGACAAAAGGTTGCACCACCGCAACCTTGAAATTTCTTCTAGAGTACTTTGAATAAATCACAAATGCACCTCTCAATATACCACATTCTTGCCTCCCCAAGGAACAAAAAATTGGAAAATCTTCAGACTCGACCAACTTCGGCCACCTATTTTTCTTCAAATAAATCAAGGAATACGTAAATAAATGAATAAATACATAAATTGAATTTGAAGAGGACTGCAAGCTCTGTTCCACGACTCCTTCTGTGTTTTCTAGAAAATGTAGAGAGGAAGAGAGAAAGAGAGAAAGCGATTGAAAGTGAGAGAGAGAGAGAGAAGATGATGATGATCGTATACGACCATTTGGCCACACATTTTTTCCACTCACAATCTTAACACTAATTCATTCATCCTCAATCTCTCCCCCCCGCCACCCTCCCAGAGAGATGTTCTTCATCATTCATCCTCTTGAACTCACCTTCACCCTACTCAGTGGTGAAAGTAAATACCTGAATCAAGGAAAAATTAAGAAAATGGAAAAATAAATAAATTGAATTTGAAGAGGACTGCAAGCACTGTTCCTCGACTCCTTCTCTACCCAAGAGGCATGAAACCGAACGAATGGATTTATCTACGTCGGAATTGCGGTTGATAGCACTTGTGTATTGAACGTGTACGTGCCATGAGATAAGATCAACACCCGTAGCAATTATAGTAGCTACTTCTTCATAAAAGCGGTTTGGGATAGCAGATCTCCACACTCTAATTACCTTGGTTACTTGCCAAAGGGAAAGCAGTAAATTACCTCGAGTCCCTTTCACTCTACTTTATCCATTTAAATACCTCTCAAACTGTTATTCACATTTTTGCGGAGACAACTTTGTCAATTTGCTGCCGATTGTCAAGCTGTGTGTGGACGACCCTTACAGGAAAATTGAGTGGATTGCAACAGTGCCGCAATGTATCAACTTGGGAGACGACGCAAGGATTCAAGTTGTCTCCTTTCTTCTCGATAATGGAGCACTTCCCAATATTTTGGCTGAAGTCAACCCGACTGTTGAAGGCATTTGTAATAGTCTAAGAGCGTATGAGTAAATGAACGCCTTCGCTCCAAGCAATAGACGCAGAGCTGGAATGTACACATTTCTCTATCTCAGGTAAATAGTTGCTCTGAGTTAATGTCTCATTTCGCAAGCATATTTGAATCCAAACCCAATTTCTCTTTTGACACAGTCACAAATGCTGGTCATACCTTTTATGAGCAGCCTTCTTATCTTCACCACATGCTCAGTTTGAGCCAGTAGCTACCTTGTGTATATATTCCAGGAAACTGTAGATTGGGGGCAAAGTTGTAGTGAGGCATTGCACTGTCTTCACGTTCAAATTAAGTACTCAAAATAAGAACAGCGAGGAGAAGGAGGAGGAGGAGGCATATTCGGAGCGGACAAAAAGAGGAGCAGTAAGCACTAAACTTGTGATGTGATAAGGTGGCAGAGTAAAGCACAAATGAATATAACAGAACCGTGCACAGATTAAAGAATGAGGAATTGCATGAAGAAGGCTGAAATTTGTTCGCGAGATTCAAGCAAGTGCTCCATATCATGAGTCCCCACGGCTTGCTATACTTGCTTGTCGTCGACGAAAGAAAGAATGGATTGACAATTCACTCATCGAGGGCATAAGGCCAAAGGTGTTGGAATCTTTGCAGTATTTGATAAAATTCAATGCAGCGCTTCCAATGGAGCTGCGGAAATCTGGCGAACGCAGTTGCATCCATTGAATTCATTGTGAAACAGGTCTCAATATTGCTTCTTTCCTCCTACCTTCCTTTCTTCTATACTTCCTTACTTATTTCGTTCTCTCCTTCATTTCCTGAGCCTCTGACAAAACGATGGCTTTGTATTGCTTTGCGCTTTGTCTATTTCCTCCCATACAAATCTCATCTAAACTATTTGTTTCACGAAAATGTGATATAGGCAAACAATCTGCCGACCTAGCTCAGAAAGAAGAAAGACGCACGTGGGTCAGAACGTCTGAACCAAAAGCCTGCTAGAAGAAGTATATAAT